AAAAAACTTTACTTGTAATAAGTTCCAATAACGATAACAAGAAGATCATCTCAAAGATGAGATCTAATCGGATCAACATTTTAGTACCGATTAGCTCGGAGATCACAGGACCGACAAATTTTTGTGGCATCACTATGTTACTCTTTATTTTGTGACGCACATTAATGCATTACTAATAATGTTAATTGCTTTGTAACTATATGCAATAATTAGTTGAAATCTACAAAACACGCTGACAAACACTTATTGCCAAAAAATATTACGTATTTTATTTTCAATAATAATTAAGTCGTTACAATCATTAGCCTAATTATTTCAAAAACTTTATCCACTGTTAATAATGGGTCATTATCTGATCCAAAGATTTTTGTTCAATCAATTCTATTTTTAAACATCTCGAACATCGATTTCACCCTTATAATCACTCTGTATATTAAATATATGACTTTATGTAGTATTAGTTTTAGTTACAATATTATATGTATGTAAAGTATTTTAAAACTTATACGGCAAGTAAACACTTTTCTAACAAATTTCTAGTTTGGTCAAAATAAATAAGGAAATTCCATACATAATCACTACAATTGCTATAAATAAATTACACTCATGACTTTAAATTCAAGAAAATATAAAAACAAAGTGGTACATATTTGTAGTGAAATACAACATTGTAGGGGAAAAAATTTGTTGAATATATCATTTTAAAGCCTAACACCAAGCATTGAAAGCTAATTAATAAACAATACGCATTAAGAAAATTAATTCTACAAATATTTTCACTTATATATATAAAAGATTCACACTAATTCCTAACTAGTTGAAACACTTCATAATCTGAGATTGTAAATGATTTTGGGATTTCAATGTTAGGGTAAGAACTAACTTTACATTGCCAATTATTACTGTTATTTGGAGCGTGTAAATCGTAACCATCTCCGAAAGTTGGACCGTAATTATTCTTGCAACAAACTGCACAACTGCTACTAGTAACTCGTCCTAATTTTGCACTATAAAGATTATTAAGATCTAATGAAAATAAAAAGCTATCTGCTGTAGTTTTATATAGACAATTTCCATTCCAGTCAAGTGGATTATAACCACCAACTAGCTGATTTGAACCTAAAATTTTCGCTATAACAATCGTTGCCCCTTTATCATTACATTTTTGATGAAATGTTTGAGATGAAAAACCATCTATGCTACTTCGAAAAATAAGATTAAAATTATATCGGATTCCCTTTAAATTCTTAACATCTATAACATCTACAGCTTTTCTATCTACCCATTTTGTTAATAATGATGCAATTTCTTTATTAATTAAAACTGTGTCTGGTTTAAAATTACCCCATCTGACTGTGAATGATTGACATTTCGGTACAGCATTTGAAACTAAATAGCAACGAAAGATATCCTCGATTAAGCTATCAGGAAGGAGATGCCTGTATGGCCATACTTCAAGCATGAACTCTTCACCATTTATTTGATGAAATCTAACAAGTTGAACTAATTCATGTAATGTCTTCTCTAATGTCTTAAAGTCTTCATGTGTAAATTTTGTCACGTCATTTTGAAGCGTCTGATGTTGTGCAATTCCCCATTTAACTAGTCGTTTCCAGATATCAATTTCTTTCATTTCGAGGTCATCCCAGTTAAGAATAAATACTAGCACATCTTTCTCTAATGAAAGAAATTTGTCTGAATTAAGTAGTAAATAAAGCGTTTCATAAATGGCATTTAAAAAAACTTCTCTAATTCCTTTAAATACTTCGTTAGGGATAATAAAATTAAGTACTTTAATGGGATCTTGCTGTAAAAAGACCTTGAAATTTTTATCAAAGGTCTCTAAATAAACTTTTTTGAGATTATCGAATGCATTATGACAAATAATAAAGTCAATCACTTTAATAGGATCTGATTGTAATAGCTTGTAACAAATTTTGGTTAAAAACTCTTCAATAGAATTAATAAGTTTTTGAAGTCCAAATTCATCTGCTGCAATTAAAACTTCTAAGATTATTTCGTTTTCTTGGTTTTGAAATTCCAACATTCCACAATACAGATACCTATTTAACATATTAACACATAGTACTGTATTATTAATGATTATTATAAAATTTTAATAATTCTTTACTTACTTAAGGATAATTTCGATGACTAGTGCACGAACATTAGGCTTTTTTAAAACTAAATGACCATCATTGTTTCTTTCAGCCCAATTAGCTGAAAATGCACTACGAAAATAAGATGATCTAGCACGAAGAATTAAAGAATGGACTTGAAATTCTTTAATATATGGCTCTTCTCCAGCGATGATAATTGCATCATAATCTTCTTTAGATTCGTATAATTCTTTAAAATCATCCGTTATATCGTTAAGAAACGTTGTGGCCATTATTGTTTCAACGGATCAAAATTATTGTGATTTGTGAAAAACCGGATAATAAAGCATTACTTAGGTCCGCTGGTGACCATTATTATCCCTTATTTGAGTTATTTACATGAATTAACCAATCAAATCATAAAATTATTAGGAAGCAAAAAAAGAAATGAGTGTCCAAATCTGTCTTGAAGCACTAATAAAAAAAATGTCAGGGGATCAATTTTACTACAATACCTTCCTAATCCTAACCTTAGAGCAGCTCTAGTCTTAATTTTAATTGCTTCATTTTAAATACAATTCTAAATAAGGAAATCATAAAATGGTACAGTAATATCAATCTCCGCGATTTTAGTTGTTTCGTTTTAAATGCTTCTCCAAATAAGGAAATTAAAAAATGGTGCAGTACAGTAAGATCAATCTCCGCCGGTTATACAACATCTACATTATTACGGTATTACACAGATAGAATTCCTATACAGATCAACATTAGGTTTGTACGTTCGTACGTACTATGTTAACAGAAACTGTTGTGAGCAGTGTTTAAAATTCAATGTTCTCATGGTTCTTAAAGAACATACAATTTTTTTCAAGAACATTGATATTTAAAATAAGGTTCTTACTTTATAATGTTCTCAAAAATATTAATATAATTCAATTTAATAAACTAGTCTCTAAAAGGTCATTCGGGTTGAGTTTAGAGCCTAACACGAGCTTAACTCGAGCTATGGATTTGTATTATGAACTGCATAATTCTGTTATTTAAATATTATTTTATAAAATTAAGTAATGCTACAATAATTACATAATTTAAAATAATTTGGCTCAAGCTGATGTAAAGAGAGTTGGGTTTTTAATTTAGGTTATTCGGATTAATTCAACCCTTTAGGAGAACATTAAAAATTTTTTGAGAACACTAATAATTTAAATTAAGCTCTTCTGATACCATAATTATAAATTTGAATTTTAAACACTGGTTGAAGTCCGGAGCCTAATAACATCAATAAAAGGTTCATATGGCGTCACGAGCAAAGAAGGATTTTCGAAATTGGCGCAGCAAAACCCGTGATGGAAGAAATTTTGACAACGAAATACTGGTTTATCGGTTGAGGCTTATCAGCCGAATGAAATATATAAACAGGTAATTAATTTAAATTAAGGCTTAGAAATAGGAGGAACCCTCGGCCGAACTAGCTTCATAACCAATGTGAAATCTGAAGAACCTGAACGCGGAAAAAGAGAAGAGCAAAGAACAAGAAACTAAAGATTCAATCAAGAAGTTGCAATAAGAAATATTGCAAGTAATAAGGCAAAGCCATTGGATTTTCTTGATTCATGTTGTAATTATCTTTGTAAGCCCCTATATTAGTATAATTTCCCCTAATTTGTTAAAGATGCAATAAGTTCTTTTCCCTAAGCCCCTATTGAATTCGTTAAGTGATCAAAAGCTATAAAAGCACTGCGATTTCGCTCATGTAAAAGGACATCCTATGGGATTACAATAATTTCTTCATCATACATTTAATACATCACCCTGATAAATCCTTTTAATAAATTCAATTATTATCAAATTACCAACATTATGTCTCTGGCGAGTTGTCATATATTATAAATTCATATATTTTTGTATATAAACTAATAAAACCATACAGTTCACCCCGTAATAATGGGTGGATTTGTTTTCATTCAAATATGTTATCTGAATTTGCATGTGATGTTTGTATATCTAAATATTAAAAACAAAGTCATGAGGGTCTGCATGACCAATCAGATCAATTAAAAAATTTAATTTTTTTTTTTTTTTAAATATTGAGATGAGTACTTAGACCCTTAATGCTTTATTAGTACTAAACATAATGCTTAGCACAAACTAAGCCATGATACATTTATATTGTGAAAGTACAACTAGTCACACATACAACTTTTGATTGCCTATTTAAGTAGTTTGCTCTAAGGTTTTACACTAGTTGCTGTATCTATAATCTGCTAGAAGATTACCTATTTAAACCCTCTGACCCTATATCTGTACCATGATGCCCACATCTAATCCTTTCATTTTGGAATCTGAGATTTTAACCCCTATCACCCAGTCCCTTCTCCAGAACTGGGGGGTATTTAACTCTGTAATAAACCTGCTAGAATGGTATATATCCCACATATACACTCACCCAAACTTTAGGTAACCTAACTACGGCTTTACTCACACACTTGGGAGTTATTCACCCCTACAGTTATTTACCAATGCCCTTGCAAAGTTTGGTATTTAGATCCCAGTACCTACTTTCCATTTCTTTTATGCCCCGTGTTCTTGGTTTCTTTAACCTTCCAAACCAGTTAGCCTGGCAGGGTTGGTCTTCCCAGGCTTTAAGTATCTTCTGGGTCTTCTTCTCTTGGTACATGCTTCTAGAGCACATGTTTTTTTTTTCTGGTGCGATTCCAGTGACCAGGTTGGTGAATCCCTCTATCACAGGATCTTGTCGGCCAATTCTACTAATTTTTTATTTCAATCTGGATTTGTTCCATAGTGCTGTCAAAGATCCTCACCGCTTCTTTGCTCAGGTCTTGCCAAGCCGGTTCTAGATCTTCAAGTTCTCTCTGTTGGTTTTATATGATTTCAGAAGTCTTATCATGGGTTTGCACTGCCTAAACTGGTTTGCATTCCTCTGCATAACACAGATGCTTCCAGAATCTTCTAGTGCACAAGGTGGTATGACCAGAGTTACAGGTGATAGAACCCAACTTATTGATAAAGATCCGTTACCATGATACAAGTAGTTTTGTCTAAACCATCGCCAGTGGGATTTGAACTTGGTACTATAGTCAAGCTAGCTTGGGGTGTGACAACTTACAACTACTCTAAGTCGCCACACTCTCAATTAAAAAATTTAATATGCAAGCAATATTAGATAATATTATTAGAGGTAACATATTATTACTAATAGTCTTTAACCCAGTATATAGCACCAGGCTTTAATATTATTAAATGATAAACTTAATAGAATTTTTATTTTATTAAAATTAATAGTTTTTAACTTAATGTATTGTTTTGACTTTTAATATTTTTTTTTTTTTTTAATTTTAAGATGAGGCCTTGCTCATATCTTTATGGAGTAATTTATATAACTAATTA